AATAAAAAAAAGAAAAACGAAAAAAGGATTGGTTCTATTCATTCTAATCATAACAATAAAACCTCTTATACTGAACTTTATTGGCTGTCAGACATAGTTCTGGACACTGACTCACTTGAGCCCACTTAGTCTTACAACAGGACAAAGAGGTAGGCAGAATTGTCCTCATTTCACAGACAATGTATCCAGCCCGCAGAGAGGTAGCAGACTTGCTAAAGGACAAAAGTAAGACACCAAGTGGGAATCAATACCCAAGTCAGTCTTGTCCTAAGGCCTTTGCTCATGCCACTGCCTCTGCTGACTCTAAAGTAGCTTGGAAAGAAGTGCTGTTTTGCAACTTGGTAAAGCTGGGAATGCTGGGGTGGCTACAGGGCCCTGCCCCGATGATCCTTCACTTTATCCTATGTTTCTTACCCCACACCCTGGCCCTAACCTTGAGTATTACCAGGTATGAGAGATTGGAACACACTTTTTTTTTAAAACCACTGCTCCAAGTTATGAGGGGTTAAATTTTAAGCATGTTATAAGGTGACCTGGTCAAAGGGGAATTAAGCTACAGATGGCTCATTAGGTAATCAGAGAAGATAATTATGGCAGGCTGCAGATTCTGCATGGCTAAGAAGCTGCTTGTCCATGTGGCTGAGGCAGGGCATTTATTTCAACTTACAGGAGCCAGTCGACAGCGATGATCAGGGTGACATCCTCAGCAGGCAGGCCCACAGCACTCAGCACGATCACCATGGTCACCAGGCCAGCTTGGGGCACGCCAGCAGCTCCAATGCTGGCGGCTGTGGCTGTGATGCTGTAGCCAAAACACACCATTGGCGGGGGAGAAGTTAGGCTCTGTTTCTCTCTCTGAGGCCCTGGCTGAAAAGTTAAGTCTCTAAAGTGATTCCTGTTATATCCCAATATGGTCAGTCAGAATTTGTTTTCTACTAAGCACTAGCTCTGCCTGAGAACAGTAGGGGACTGAGATGAGATGGTGCCATGTGGTGGCAGGGGGACATGCGGCAGGTCACTCTGACACAGGAAATAGATAAGGGCTGCAAGAAGGCTTTACTTACCTGTCCATACATCAATCCTAAATTAAAGCTGGGTACCTCTCCATAAGCTTGCTTCCTCCCTCCTTCCACCTACTCACCTGGCCAATTACTTGCTGACCATCTACCGTGCTCCAGGAATTTATATTGCCTTGAAGGATGAGTAGAGGGATAGTGGTAGGGTGGATGGACAGGCGCATTTCAATTGAGGGTGAAGCAGTGCAGAAATGGTTGAGTAGATTTCATGCACTTGCTAGACATCACAAGCCTCGACCTCTTTGAGAGAGACCTTTGGCACATTGACTTGAGAGATAAAAAGACTCCTGTCGAAGGTACAAGTATTTCTTCTTGGCTGTCCCCCCGCCTTTTTTTTTTTTTTTTGCCACTGAATGCATTTTAAAAAATTTAGTAATTTATTTTTTATGTATTTGGTACAAGGACTCACTACACAGTGCACACTCATAGTGTTCCTCCTGTTTTCAGCCTCCACAGTCCTATGATTACTAGTTCTCTGAGGCTGGCTTAGCACTCCCAGGGGTGGGGCCAGTGTGTGGTGCTGGAGATTGAACCCCAGACCCTGCCTTGTGTAAGCAGGCACTTAGTCCACTGAGCTATCACTCTGGCCCCAGTGAATGCATTTTGTACAAAAGGAAGAAGAGATCTGGAATCCAGGAGAGGCAGCCCCATCAATTTTATTACCATGCATTTAGAAAGATCCCTCTTGGGCAGATGAGATGTGGCACTGGGGATTTTTCTCCTTGGAATGCACAATTTTTCTCATCAGTTACAATTTTATTATTATAAATTGATTATCCTAGAGGAAATCAAGGCTCTTGATGCCCAGAAAAATCCCTGTCTTGGATGACCCTTGACCAGAAACACACATACATTTTCAACACACAGCCTTACCCTTGGGCCAAGGCTGTACTGTCACCACAGTGCTAACAAGCTGAAGGTTTGAGGTGTAGAAACTCCCCTAATTAAATTAGAAGACAGCCTAGTTCTATGCACAAAACCCTGTGGGGTCAAAGAGTTTCTGAGTTTTAAGGAAGCTTATTCAACTGCCCATTCATCTGCATAGTAATGCACTACAGAAGCCACCTAGGGTACAAAATCAGGCTCAAGTGTGAGGAGTGGGTTTGCCTTCAGTGAGTACAGCTACCAATTTACAGCAAGTTAGAGATGTCTGGGGCTGTACCAATTTCTTGAAAAGGTTCATGTTCACATAAGCTTTTGGACCTATTCTAACTTAAGTACTTTCTGGAAAACCCAACTTTATTTCAAAGCCGACTGAAAATACATTTAAACTGAATGTATCAATGGCTTTTGTCAGAAGTGATTTGTGTTCAGATCTATTGATCCCACTTGGAAGCCTCCATACATCAGAGTTAACTACATCCCTACAGCCTGAAGCTGGGTTTGAAACTCAAAACCTATTTAGTTAAGGAAAATTCTGCCTTTGAGTCTTGACCTCGCTCACTAAACTTCCATCTTCTGACAGACTGGCTTTGGTCCTAAACTCAGAACTATACATTTTCAGATAAGGGGGAAAAAAAAATTCTAAAAACCAGTTCCTACTTTTGAATATATTCTACTTTGGCTGAGAAGGCTTTCCTTCTTTTCTTTTTTTTTTTACCCCCTGAGGTAAAGTTCTTTCCTATCACTGAGGCCTAGTTTTAACTCCACTGTCTGAACAGGCTGAAGGCTGGACTGTGAACTAGAGGGAATGCAGACTTTAGAGTCAGACACACCTTTAGGATGTACTCCTGGCTTTGCTGTTTTACTAATAGAAGTAACTTAGGCAGCTCACCTTTCTATCTCAATTCCTTGCCTGTATGTAGTATGGAGATTCCATGTCTACCTCCCAGGGCTGCTATGAAGATCAGTCCATGCAGAACACCTAGGATGGCACCTGCACGGGAGTTTAAAAAGTATCCTTTTTGCTGCTGTTACTTATACTACTGTAGTTGTCACTGCCAGCATTATTACCACTGCCACCACAGCTTTAGCAACAACCAAAACACTAGGTGGACTATCCCTAATTTCAAGTGCTCGCATTCAAAATGCTCCCAAAACTAAAACTGACATGATGGCAGAGTAGAAAATTTTATATCTTATCTCATGTGACAGGCTGCAGTCTAAATGCAGGTGGCACTAAAAATAAAACTGTAAGGTTACTTTAAGGCTATGTGTGTAAAGTGTACATGAAATGTAAGTGACGTTCATGTCTAGACTATTTTTGTATTTGGTACAGCATCTGCAGGAGCTACAGGGTCTCACTACATAGATCAGACTCGTAGTGATTCTCCTGTTTTTAGCCTTCCAAGCACTGGGATTACAGGCATGTGCCACCACACCCAGTCTCAATCACTGGCTCAGTGTGCCCTGGGGTGGGGTCAACATGGTATGTGGGGGATTGAACCCCAGCCTCTGCACTCTGCCTAAGAAGGTGCTTTAGTCCACTGAGCTATCTGACTGACCCTTATGTTTAGATTTTGGTTCCATCTCCAAAATCTGTCTGTAAGTGCTAGATTGGACCAGACTTCCCCAGACCCCAGCCAGCAGAAGTGCTACACTGCTGGAAACTCAGCTCTCAGCAGGGAACTTAGCTCAGCTCCCTGTCATGGCAAGCACAGGAAAGGAGATAAGATAGGACAAGGAATTTTGTCGCTCCTGGGACATCTGGAAACACCCAAGAATTTAACTGGACACTTCAGGGACTATGCCCACTGAGATGTAAGACTACCAGAGAACTCTGATGGCAGATGTTTATTGGGGTCTTCCTGCCTGACTCAGAGTGAACCTTACATAGGCCTGGGGACCTAGTTTCATCTTGAGCTTCCACTCTAAAACTGAACCCAAGTGGATGCTAATCTAAGGATGTCACTCAGTAGCAGTGCTGTCCTGTAAAACTCTCTGCAGTTAGGGAATTGTTTGATATCTTCCCTATTTCAGCAAGCCACTGTCTCCACAAGGTATGTGGCTGCCATATTGGATAGAACTGTCCCGGAAACAAATCTGGCAACATTAACTAATGGCGTTTCCACCACCTCCTTGAACAGGCAATTTCTGTCCTCATTTGACTCGATTTCTCTGTACTATCTGACTCCTATTTTCACCCTAGAAAATCTATCTCTTCTTAGATTTTCACAATATCATGGCTCCTGGCTACCTCCTCTTTCTTTTTTATTAGTACTGTACATATTTGTAGGACATAATGTTCATATCCCCTGTGTGGAGCTGGTACATGCACACAGCACACCTTAATCCCTCTTTCATTCCCTTTCCCACCCCTTTCTTCCCTATCTCCTGATCCCCTCCCCATCCAAGAAAATTACATCTCCCTGATTCTTATCACCTGTTTTTTATTTTGTTCTTTCTTTCAATTTTGGGTTTTACTCATATAAGAGAAAACATGCTATGTAAGCTTGTGTGTCTGGTTTACTTCACTTAGCATGATCTCAAAGTCTCAAATCATTTTCCTACATATTCTTATGATTCATTTATCCTTCTTTATGACACAGCAGTATGCCATTGTATGCAAATATCACCTTTTCTTTATCCATTCATCTGCTGATGGGAATAAAGGCTGCTTCCAAGATTTAGCTATTGTGGATTGTGCTGCTACAAACATGTATCACTGTAACATGACTTCTTTAACTCTTTTTGGAAAGATACCTAGAATGAAAATAGCTATGTCAAATGGAATTTCTAGTTTTAGCTTATTTATTTCTATAATAGTTGTGCTAGTTTACATCCCACCAATAATGCAAGAAGGGTCCCCTTACCCCACCAGCATTTGTTATTTTTTTATTGCATAATGGTGGCCATTCTTTCTGATGGACTCTCAGTGTTATATTAATTTACATTTCTATAATGGCCAGCAATGTTGATCATCTCTTCATGTATTTATTGGTATTTGTTCTTCTGTGAAGTGTGTATTCATTTCACTTGCCCATTCTTCCATTGGGTGTTTTATTTTGGGAGTTCTACTTTTTTTTGGAACATTGTTTTTTAATGAATTACAAGCTAAATTACAATAATGTTAATAGAAAGCACTCAAGGACAGGAGGTGGGTAAAAGGACAAAAATTGTAAGAGAATATGCTTATGAAAAACACATATGCTTATTTCAATGACAAAACCCCAAGGTGCAAGACAAATCCAGCCACTCCAAAAAAAAAAAAGGCCACAACAAAGACTATAACCTGATATATAAATATAATTGCTCATCTTTTTTCCCCCAGTGCCTCTTCTGTGTCACAGCTCTATAAAGTGTCAACATTCTCAAAATGATGTTTAAACCTTAGCTTCCACTCTCCTAGAGTGAGGTGGCTTTCAAAGGAAGATAAGGGAAGGAATGCCTGGCAACTGAAGAATTAAAAATCCTAAAAGGAAGAAATTGGAATGTCTCTCACCTGCCTCATAAGGCCCTGGTGAAGCAACAGATTCACCCCAAGCACAACCCTTGTCCCTTGCGCCTCCTAGACTCCCATTTGCCCAAAGAAGAAGCACTAGCACTGGGGGGCAATCATTTCTTGGGCTTCCTCTCCAGCGCTGGATCTTGAATCTCTTAGCCTTTCACGTGAGATGAAACACTAAAATTTGGCTAACTGGATCTAGTTTTAAACTAATTCTTTAAAACAGGACCTGCCTCCCTTTATTTTTTGGCTTGTTTTTCAAAAATTCTAGTTTAGCCCCCTGCTGTAGGTTGTGTTTTCAAGAAACAACGGCAGCAGAAGATTTGGGTCCCTTTCATCTCAAACACAATAAATAATTATAGGGCTCTCAGAGATTGAGATGACAAATGGGATTGGGGGAAGGAGTCAGTTTTGTTTTGAATCCCACCCCTCCCCAGCAAAAGAGGGGGAAAGGGTGGTGAAGCTAAATTAAGTGCCTGTAATACTAAAGTTTCCTTTCATTTTCACCTGTTCCTTCCTTCCACTCCTGGGCATGCAGAGGTGGCTGGACAAAAAAGGAAGGCAAGTGTTAAGGTACCCAGAAATGATCAGAGAGCCTGCCTGATCCAAATCACCCAGAGCTGAGCCAGGTCAAACCACAGTGGGGGAGAGGCTGAGGGTGAAGGTTTAGGCAAGAACATCACAGTTGAAGGTGGGGTACTGTCTTTGTCACATCCTGGAAGAATGGATGAGCCAGAGCTGCTTTTGCTGAAATTTGCTTATTGGGGTCATAGTGCAGCATTTGTGATAACAAACTCCGTCCATCTTCATCCAGGGGAGGTACAACTTTGCTAAAATCTTGCCAGGCCAACTTGAAGAAACTTGGCTTACAATTAGGCATAGAAGTAACTCCTAGCCAAACTACCTCATCTGGGGTCCCTAGAGTGAATGGGACCCCCAAAGGCTCTGGCTAGCCTGAAGTCTGCTAGTTTGATGGCTTCATCTGCGTTGATAAGCAGATGCTGAGGTTTAAGGTCTCAGTGCAGGACCCGGTGAGAATGGCAAAATGCTAGTTCCTGAAGCAGCTGAAACAGATAGTTCTTGATGAGGGGAAGAGGAACACCAGTGAGAGCAGAGGCCTACATAAACTTTTTGAGATCTTGATGCAAAAATTCAAAAAGCAGATAGAGTTTATTTTCTGTGTGGATGACATCCAGCAGCTTGACAACATTGGGGTGGTTAAGCTCCTTGAACTGAGAGATCTCTCGAATGGCAGTACTGGGAATACCCTCAGTCTGTGTCAAGCGGATTTTCTTAAGTGTTACCACCTCTCCTGTCAACTTGTTTTTGGCTTTGTACACAACGCCATACATGCCCTCTCTCATCTTTTCCACCTTTTGGAAGTTCTCCACGAAGTGCCAGCGAGTCAGGGCAGCCGGGCCCTGGAGAGGGGACCTGAGAACCCTGCAGAAAGCAAGCTGAGGGGACTGAGGAGGGAAAAACTGAGCCCATCACAGTGATCCCTGGTCAAGATGGAACACAGTGTATGTCTGGGAGTTCTACTTTTTTGAGTTCTTTATATATTCTAGATATTAGTCCTTTGCCCAGAGAATAACTAGCCAAATTTTTTCCCGTTCTATTGGCTGTATTTTTTCTTTTCCTTCTTTCTTTTCTTTTTTTTAAAAATCTTTTTGAGACAGGGCTTCACTATGCAGTTCAGGCTGGCCTTGGGCTGACTTTGTAGCCTAGGCTGGTTTCAACTCGCAATGATCCTCCTGCCTCATCCTCCTGAGTACTGGGATTACAGGTATGTGCCACCATGCCTGGCTTTGTAGGCTGTATTTTCACCATGTTTGTTGTTCCTTTTGCTGCTCAGAAGGCTTTACTTTGGTATGCTCCAATTTGTTGATTCTTGGCACTCTTTCCTGTGCAACTGTAGTTCTGTTCAGAAAACCTTTGCCTCTCCCTCTTTCTTCAGGAGTTTTACCTATTTTATCTTTGAGCAGATTGTGTCTGTTTCAACATTTAGTTCTTTGATCCATTTTTATTTCACTTTAGTACATGGAGAGATATATTGGTCTGAGTCCCACTTTTTTCTTAATTGCTCTTCTTCCTGGGTGCCCTTTCTCAGTTTTTCTCTATATTAAGATTTTTCCCATGTTCAGCCCTTTGTTTTTGTCTCTTTGCTGTGAACTCTCCTTACGTAATGTCATCTGTTACTCATTATTTGCTAAGCACTAACTGTGTAGGCACTAAACATTTTATATACTTCAGCTTATTTAATCACCGCTATTTGGATAAACGGTAGGTACTATGATGAGCCTCATTTTACAGGTGGTAGAACAGAAGCTGCAGGATGGATGGAAGTCTCTTGCCCAGGGTCACAGATTCAAACACAGACAACTGTCTCATGACCCATGTGTCTGATGACCATCCATTAAGCTGATAATCCTGACTTCTGTATGTTCACTCCAGACCTGTATTTCTTACTGCATATATTTGCCTGGAAGTACTCCCCCCACCAAATAGTGAGGACTGAACCTGGGGCCTTTGTGCCTAGCTACATACACAAGAAGTCTTATTCTTTCTCTTCCTTCTTCCCTCCGTTTCCTTCCCTCTTCCCATTTTATTTATTTTTAGATTTTGAGATAGTATTTTTTCTGAGTCATTGAATTGCCCTAGCTTGACCTTAAACTGTGATCTATCTGCTCTATCCTATCCCTACAGGCATGTACCACCATACCTGGATCCACCTGGCAATCTCCTTTATTTGGCTGTTTCGAGATAAGGCTCATCATGTAGTTCAGATTGGCCTCCAACTCACAGTGATCCTTCTGCCTCAGTCTCCCACACACTGGGATTATAAGCATCCTCTTGCTCCTTTGTTGTTCTCTGTACCCAGTGTCAGAGTCTGGATGCAGGCCTTTAAATGTACTATGTGGACCTAACTGGTTTCCACCTTGTGATCCTTGCTCCCTCCAAACCATTCACATTTCCAGTTGCCTAAAATGCAAATCTGTCCATGATATGAGTGCCCTGTACAGAGCTTTTCATGATATGACTCCGGCCTCATTTTTTAATGCAATCTATGCCCTACTTCTTGTTCTGGTCATACCAAATAGTCTGTATTCTGGAATTCGCCCTATATGAACCCCAAATGAGCTACTTCTGCTACCCAAAGCTTTTATGTTCCATCTTGGCCTGTTAAACTCTTATTCTTCATCAAGGTACCTTCTCCTCCGGGAGTCTTTTCTCACCATCCAAGGGAGGGAATCCTTCCCTCCACTGATACTGTACAGAGTTCTGGGATGGCCTCTGTCACAACCTTCTGCACCCATTTGGTTATCTATTCCCTGCCCACCAGGGACCCACGGAAAGCAGGCCCTGGTCCCCATTCATTTCTGAGTCTTTGGTGTGTACTCTGCAATTGGGACTTACTAGGTACACTGAGTTGATACTTTGATTACCCAGATCCTGAAGCAGAAACCTGGTAGCTTGAGTGCACTACTTAGACTGAATCTTGGGAAAGGATTTGGTAGGCCAAACCACAAAAGAGAACAGGGCACCACCGAGCCATTTGTGGTCTCCTTCCCAGATCATTTTTCTTGTGCCAGTCGTAGTCACAGTGATGGAAATGAGTGCAACACTGTCCTCACCTGATCGTGATGATCTGCCCAATGCTCAAGTCCAAGTTATTCAGCTGTGCAATAAACACGGCAGCTACTGCTTCATAAAGTGCGGTCCCATCCATGTTGATTGTGGCACCAACAGGCAGCACGAATCTAGTGATCCTCTTATCCACGTGGTTCTTTTCTTCTGCACAGCGGAAGGTGACAGGTAGAGTTGCTGAACTGGTGTGACAAAAAGACAAAGAGAACTATAGTCCAAGAACATTTGTCTCTCAAGCCCCACCTCTTTTCTAAAAAGTAAATGAAGGGCCTGAAGTGTGTTGGCTGATTTGGCCAGTTCAGAGATCAGCAGGTGCTGTGCCCATTCTGCCCCTGTTACACAGGGACTCCTTCCTGGGCCGCAGGCCATGTCAAAGGCACAGAAACATTCAACAGAGTGAAGAAATATGCTCTCAGACAGGGCAGGAAAGACAAGGCTTTCTCTCAAAGGCACTACCAAAAGCACAATCTTTGGGTCTGCCTCATCAGGTGAGGTGAGAGGTGATTGAGTGCAGCCTGGAAGCTTCTCCAGAGCCCTTTGCTAAATACCTGGAAGAGATCATGAGTGCCGTCAGCAGAGCCTGGGCCATGCCCAGGGCAAATCGGAAAGGGTTCCTTCGTACGACTATGAAATATATCAGTGGGAGGATTACAATAGAGTGGATTGCAAGCCTGCATAGGAGAGAGAAAAGCCAGTTTTAGAGAACACCTCCTCCTTGGTACTTACTCCTTTTTCCAAACAGTTTCTTAAATCATATTTTTCAAATTTCATAATGAACCAATGAGAAAATGGGACATGGAGCAGGAACAGCATGTCATTATTCTAGAGACGAGGGTGCAGAGGTTCAGTCAGTAAAGAAGTGTGCTATCACAGGTGGTGGTAAATTCCACAGCTAGGTCCAAATTTCAGAGTTTGCTGAACAGGATTACATTAGGCTGCCACTGTCCTTGTAATGTGCTATTTCTGCCCTACATGAATGTGCTCTTCGTTTATAGCCCCCTCCTCGAGGAAGCCTTCCCTCACCAGCCCAGGTGGCAACCGATGTTTCTCCTGTGTGCCCTGTAAGACCCTCTCCTAAATCATAGCACAGCTTATTCTCTCATGTCCATTGGAGGACGTTAGAGTTTCAATAAGGGACAAATCCATGTTTCTCCACGTATTTGAGAACTGGCCCTGTTTTATTATTCCTGCCTTTCCAAATTATTTCTCATTCCATATGGAAATGTAAGAACTACCCAAAACATGGAATTAAGAAATGAGACCCATTTGGTAGATGAAATGTATACATAAGTGGCACTTAAAAAGCCACAGATCCATTATACAAAGTCAAAATAATACAGAATCATTGAGAATACAAATCCTTTAGGTGTCAAGATGGGATCTCCTTAATAGAGGGCTTATCGCTATGAATTGTGAGTTCTTAACTCTACTTTTAGTTTTTCTTAGAGAAGCCAGTGGAACTCCCCTGTGGAATCTCTGAGCATCACAAACAGCCCTGGTGCTGCCTGCTTCAGCAGCCCTAGAGAAGGGCTGGCCCCTGGGGTGGTGGATGGCCTGCCTCTCAGACCTTATAGCTCCGGGATGTGACTAGCCTTCACACTGCAGAAGCCCAGGCTGCTTCTAGGTTGTCAGGCAGGGCTGTACTTCTGGCAAACACAGCTTAAGAATCACTGTGTGCAGCAGAAACCCTCCTGTACAATCAATTCCAATAAGAAAGTTAATGGCCTCTATTGGGTGTTTGACCTGTGGGAGTTAAATCAATACTACTTGCTCCTTCCCTTGGCCTATATTTCTAAGCATGTGTGACACAGCCAGCCCTTGGCTATGTTAGGGGGTACTATTTGTAACCTGACCACTGCATTTCTTCTGGAGGACCCAATAATGGACTGTAACCTGCAGACAACTCAGCCTTCTGCTTTACGGCCTCACACAATTCTTAGCAGCCTGATTATTTCTGCAGCACTCTCCCTGACACCCTGCTGATGTGGGGCAAGGCAGTAATACTAGCTCCAGGAACAGCAGTTGAACCAATTAGCCCTCCTGCTTCTATCAGCTGGAGTCTGACTCTACTTAGACTCTTCTTAATTTCTCTCAGTCTTAGTATATAATAGGGACTTAGAGGATGGACCTGCAGATGCCCAATGGGTAACTAAAAACAGGATAAATCTTGGTATCCCTTTCTTCATGTTACACAGGTTTCCTTTATTATGGTAAAACTGAGGGCCAAATTCCTGCTCATCTCTGCATACTGGCATGTTAATCACTTACAGAGCATCTGTCTAAAAATTAGTAATATAAGGATATTAACACTAAGCTTATCTACCCTGTATAGTCCCCCTTTAACCCCATGGTATCTTGAGGATGCCAAGAGGAACTAATGTAATTTCCAGGATTTGCAGGGACATCCGATTGCCTGCTTTATGTTGTCCAGTTCCAGACTTCCTGTACTGAGGCCTAGAAATCTCCAGTCATTATCCTAGACCTGCAGTTACCTTGGATTGCAGGAAAAGCACAGGCCCAGGCCACCCCTGAGGAGATCACCCTTTAAACAGGGCGAGTTGCCCTGTGATGGAGCCAAGGCAGCCACTAAGTGAGAGCCATCATCTCAGGGAGGGAACCAAGCTGCCCTCGTCAGCGCTGATGGCTAAGACTTCAAAGAACCAGTCCTGAGGTCACCATCAACCAGACTGTGCTTGGCCATGAAACCTATGCTTTCTGCTATACAAACCTTCAATCCTTGTGTCATTCCCCTTCTATAGAACCCTAAAGTTTCTGTAGCAGAAACTCCTTAAAGAGTCAGCTCCTTAAAGACAGATATCAAACTCTCTGTTCTCATGGCCTGGTCATGCTGAATGAAGCTCTTTTTCTGCCCTTCACCATTGCTCTCCTTCATTGGCATTTTGGGACAAGTGGCTAGCCTGGTCTGTTGGGAACCCCTACCCATGAGCTGGGGCTTCTGCCCTAAAATTCCAGGGTCAGGGTATGCAGGGGGAGTACTCTTATTTACTAGGCTGCTTTACATTCTTGAAGAAGTAATGGGCAGAAAGGCAGGAAGCAGCCAAAAGGAGCCATGAGTGGCTTTCTCTCTTGTTTTAAGAAATCATTTAAACACAACCAACAATAGCAGTGGCAAAGCCTGGTCCGGGTTGTTCTGCCAAGAGCCGGCAATTATCCCAGAATGATCCACCTACAGTACAGCTGTTAAAGGGCAGCCCTCTCCCCTGCTCTCTTGTTCTGCACCTTATCTTTCTCCACACTAGGAAGCAGAGCAAAGCTAACTTTAACCAATGATACCCCAGTCTCTCTGTAGCAATTGTACTGGACCAATGCAGTTTCTGTTTCTTGAGTCAGACATACCCACTGAGGACCGTGGCCATGTAGAGACCCAGCTTGCGAAATATTTCCCAGTCTTCAACTTCTATGATCTTCCCAGCAATCAGGAACAAAATCCCAAGGGGCATGTAGCTAAGAAGCAAGCACAGCAAAGACACAACTCCATTGTTAGGGATTTTCTCTGGCTAGAGATGTCAGGGAGGGAACGAGCCAGGGCACACACCCTCAGGCTGCATGCCCACTCAGCTGGCAGGAACACAGGGTACACTGTGAAACTAAGGGCTCAGCTTTACGTCCTGGGTGGATATTGGCTCTAGTTTTTAGTACCTGCATGCACGTTAGATTCTGCCCATTCAAACTACTATGAGAGTAACTTGCAAACTTGATAATCTGTGGTCGGACTGGGGCATACCCAATGTGACAAGCAAACACACAGTGCACACACACCCTACAGATTTGTCATATCTGCTTATCTCACTTGAGTTTGGCACTCTCTGCAAAATATGGGTGCTAGGCTCTTTCTAGCCATGATCATTTTGTTTTGCAGGTATCAGCAACAGAGGCAATGGCTAGCAGTCATACAGCGGTCATAACAGCTCTGTTTGGGGAGCTCATTATGCCTTGGATTGAGGAAAGTATTTTACATGCCTCATTTCATTTAATGTTCTAGTCCTAGACATTGGCTTTATTATCCTTTTTATATAGACAATGAAGCTGAGGTGTTTTTCCCTCCCCAGGATTGACTCATCTACCTGTTGTTGTTGTTGTTGCTGTTATTGTTATTATTATTATTATTATTAATATTTTCTCTCACTATGAAGCTTGGACTCATAGTGATCCTGTTTTCAGCCTCCCCAGTGCTGGGATTATAGGCATGTACCACCACACGTGGTCTCTGTGGCCGGCTCAGCACACCCGGGGGTGGGACTAGCATGGCATGTGGTGCCAGGGATTGGACCCTGGTCCCTGTGCTTGCCTAAGCAGGCTCTTAGTTTGCTGAGCTATCTCGCTGGCCTAGCACCTACCTGTTAATAATAAACCTTTTACATCACTATCAATGCCTACCTTAGGATTAAATGATGGTGAACCAGTTCAATAAGAGATAAGTGAGGCAGAGGTCTCACAGGAAGAGAGGAGTTTCTCTCATCTCAGAGACAGGGAAAATACTCAGGTGGTGTCTCTAGACACTCAAATGGAGCTTTCCTTCAGGTGGGTTAGCGCCAGCTCTGGAGAAGTTCATCAGTATTTTAACTCTCCCTGGGCCTGAGAAGGAAAGCACTTTGTGTTCTGATGTATAGTAAGTACTTCAAATGACTGCTTTAAGAGTCACTTCTTACATGAATCCTGGTTGGGTACAAAATGACTTCCAGGGACTTTGAGGGAAAGGCACTAGCTGACAGGCAGTCTTTTATGAAGAATGAACCGCTGAGCAGTAAGTGGAGTTATTTCACACTCTAGTGCCTTGAATTTCAGTGTCTGCTTTCTTAAGGAAGCGTCCAGTTGAGAAACATGAGTTTTTTCTTTCTAATTTTGAGGAGACAGGGTTGTTCCAGGGAAGCAAAAATGGCATTAAATAGTGTCTGCTCACCACATAATGATCTGAACGATTTTCATGGTTGCATCACTCAAAGCATTGAAGAAATCCACCAAAATCTGTCCCCTTTCTCCCATTTTTCCAATGACAAGTCCAAAAACGAGGCAAAAGATAATCAAACCCAGGACGTTTATGCCATCTGCGTAACTGCCTACAATTTTGTATTCCTTCGTTTTGTTCTGTGGATCAAAACCAAGAAAATATATTCACACATGATCATAATCACAGTGATCTCACAGGGAAAGTCATTATTTTAGGCAATTTAATCATCATCATCATCATCATCATCATCATCATCATCTTCATCATCATCATCATCTTCATCATCATCGTCATCCCTGGAGACATAAAATGTTACCCACCCCACTGAAGGTTAACCGTTTTTTCCCTTCTCTTAGCAAGTCCGTGTTTGAATACTTCATTTGAAAATTTCTAATTTTGGAATGTTTTACACTTGTATCATGAAATTTAGAATGAGGGCTCTTTTCAGTGTGATTTTTACTACTTAAGCTACATTGGGAGTCTATTTTAAGAAAGATAGGAATTAATAATGCAGGAAGTAGAAAATACCAGTGTGAACCTTTTCGGGACATTTTAAGATATGCTTTACCCTCATAATGAAGCACAGCAACATATCTCACTGCCTCTGGTTTGTATGACCAACATGTTTTTAGAGATACAAAAATTATCCACATACTCACTACTATGAACCACTTATCTACACTATCCTAGGTAAAAATAGTATGAGATTTACTGAGAGTACATAACATAATCTGAAACGGTACAAGCCGGATATATGAAGAATTATGTTCCTGAACCAATAGGATGCCAGTCATTTCTTATTTATGATGAAACAAATATTTATGGAGTAGCTGGAATGTTTCAACTACATTAGCTACAGCATGAGGTCTTAAACTTCAGCTGAAGAGACAAGACAAACTGTGAGAAATATGTGCCAATGCCAAGTTGGTGTATAATTAACTGATGCCGAGCTGTGAGCTACAAGTGTCACATAGAACTGGGGCCATGAGTGGGCTTCAAAGATAGAGAAAGCTAGGTTTGAGAGTAGGCAGCTAGGCGATACAGAATGTTCTAGAAAATGACTAGCAAAGGCAAAAGTCAGGTGTACTGGGCCTTTGAAACATGCTTGAATAATCTTTGCTCATCCTTTAGAGCTCCCAACTAACTTGGAACTCCCTGCTGAATCCTTGCAAGCACCTTGTTCTTCCTGATTGTATACTTATCACTTTTCATATATGGGCAGACACTGTACTTTTAACTATTATAATTGTAAGGCCCAGTAAGACCTGGCATATGAAAGGGGTTCAGAAAATGTGAAACATCAAAGGCAGGGAGAAAAAGGTAACTGAAGAGGCAGATCTGGACAGAAGAGAAGGTCCACTGCGAGATAAGCTGGACTAACTTAAGCCAGGCCAGGAGGAGGAGGCCTCTGGCACAGCCTCGCTTTAATTGGAGTTCTGAAGTCTTCTGAATATTTTTCTTTTCCTTCAATGTTTTATTTTTGTGTGTGGGCAGAACACATTCAGGAGAAGTCTGATCGGGGCCTACAAAGGTACCACATCAGGACCACACATTCTAATCTCCAGTTTGGAAGTCTCCAAAATTCTTAAGGCCCACGGATCATAACTGTAGGTTTATAGCAAACTCTTTTGGCAACAAACCTATCCTGAATGGAAATAAGTCCTAAAGTCTATTTCTCTTGCTGGCAGAATATGCAACAATTTGCTGCAGATGTCTGATAATGCTTCCTTCTGGAATGTTCTACTGTCCCCGTAAGGGATGCTGCGAGCTATGCAGCTCCCATGCTGCTTGACCTCCTGCTGGGGAGCTCTGGTGTTGGAATCACATCTGGATAGAGGGATTTGGATAAAGAATTAATTGTGTGCCTATACCCTGTGCTTACAAAGCCTTGCAAATTGAAACTAAGTGTCCAACTATGAGGAGTAGCAGAAAGACAGGGACAATAAGGCTTAATTTTTTTTTCTGTCTGTACAGTTGACTCTTTTTCCTCCAGGTAGTCATGCCCCATAAAGTCCTCAGGAACACTGAGTTCATAAATATAGAACTATCGCTCCTACATGAAATGCAAGGTTAAGCTCCTGGGAACACTGGTCACATCATTTACATCAAATAATCAATACCTGACATTGTTTTATGTGTTTCTATTTAAAGGCATCTCATTCAGTATCCATTGTTGATTCATCAACATTGAACTCATGACCAACAAAACTATAACTCATGCCAAATGAAGCTCTTTAAATGCATCTATTTTCTCTGGAAGCCATATCATAGTATTTTTGTGCTTAGGAACACTGGACAATAATTTATTCCCAGGATCTGGGAATAAATAACAAAGGCAGAGCACACAAGTGGCACTCAACACACTACAAAATGGACCCTTGTGTCTAGTTTGAGAGCCCCAAACAAGAAGGCAGAGTGCAACCTTGTTCAACCTCAGCTGGGCCCTCTCCGGTGGCTGGCTCAAATTGTGTGTGTTCTCTGCAAATGACTAGGCAAAGACCAGGAGCCCTGAATTTGGGTTTCCTAATAAGTTTTAGCAGGGAAGTGAACTCATAAATGTGAACTCTATCACTAACACAGACTGGCTCCTTCTTCATCTCTTGCCTGCTCATGACTGGCTCCAGCCTACTGGGAAAGGGGAACAGGACACAGAATGGTACCTGAGAGATTGCTGTCATGACGGTGGTGACAGAATCCTCTGTTTTGTTCCTCTCAGAATCAGTGGAAGACTGTATTTCTTCACGCTTAGTTTTATACTGCACATTGGACAAAAACAAACACAAGCAAACTTAAAAAAATAAGAGTTTTTAAAACTTCTCAGGATTTACCATAATTACTCATGCATTATGGCCAAACATGAGCCACTAAAGATTCTGTCTCTGATGCCTCTTTTGTTTCTAGTTTTTGATGACTCCTCCTCCTCCTCCTCCTCCTCTTCCTCCTCCTCTTCCACCTCCTCCTCCTATTTGGCAGTAAAAACAGGATACAAAAATACAAACCTCTGACTCCCATAACCACCACTCAATAATGTCAGAATGTGTTCCTGCTTTCAAAATAAGGAACAAATTAATGAAGAAATACGTGAAAGAAATTTTTTTTTTTTTCTGTAGGCACTTTCACAGACCCTTTAGGGATTCCTGTTGATATTTTTATTTAATTATTTCAATAGGGATAAATGACCTCATCACTTTGGTAAAAGATGTCCCCATAAATTTAATAAATGCTAAGAAAGGTTGATTGAGATGGATGTGCCTCAGTCAACACTCCTTTCAGTACTATTCTTGTGAGTGAGATTTCTGGTGAATTCTCTTGCTGTATCTCTGTTTGTTTGTGTATAGCTTCAACACAGAGGTTTAAGAAAGAGCTAGTACATTATTATGCCAGGCATAAATGTTCCTCCTCCAGGGCTCTGCCAACACCGAGACCCTAATAAATGACCAACTGTAGCTGATCTGCAAGGACACTCCTGAAATAGAGGTGGTTCTGTGTCTCCTGGATGTGGGCGGGGAGCGATATCATTGCCATTTTTGTTGGTGTACACAGAGGACTCTGTTCATGTAATTTATGTAAATGAATATAGCAGTTTGTGATAGACTCAGCTGTCTTAGAGTACACAGATAAACAGAAACAAAAACACTTGTCAATAGAGCAAAAACTTTGCAGGAGAAAAATCCACAGCTTTGTCAAACTGCTCTGAGAATTCCAGCAATGGGAACAGACTGGTTAAGGCAAAGATCTGATTCCAGGAACACCCACTACATCATTTGGGTTAGACACAGCGTGCCAGTATGAGATGGACAGGAGAGAGGAGATGGAGGACTCTTTCTTTTTTTTCCTCACTGCATTGCATCTGCAGACAGTTCAAATTTCCTTACAAGTATAACACGATTCTCCAAACTAGGTACTAGAGGCCACATTTTAAAACATTCATTTTGGACTGATTCTTTGTTTGCTCCATTTGAGCACTTATGAAGAAAAAGGGACAGAGGACAAGGGAGCAGTACAAATTATGACATGCACTTCACTGTGGACTGGGAAGACCATGGGTACAAAATGAAGGAGTCACCCGAGACTCTACCACTCACAAGTGTGCTTCCTGCCACCATTTTTGATGGGCTAAGTCCATCTCTTGGACCACAACAGAAAACATGTCTCAGTTGGTAAAAGGAAGAGGGGAGCAACTGAGGACAAAAATTATTAATATTACCTGCTGAAAACAGGCTTGCACGAGGTTCTCAGGGAACATATTCCTGTTGAAGATATGAAAGCAGTATTATGTAGAGCCAAAAGGGGTTATTTTTGTCATATACAATACATCGGAGGAAATGAACATAATACAGAATCAGTACTGTTTTCTTTTCCAGCCTCTCCTTTGCATAATACTTGCTTATATTAAGACTTATTTCTCTTATCCTCAGCCTAAACTGAATATAGAAAACTGCCCAGCAACTGTCACGTAGCAGATGCACTAAGTGACACGCTGGCTGAACACAGTGAAGGGTTGTCCTGGCAGATGGATACTGCCAGGCAAGACACAGTTCTTCAATTTTCTGTGCATTACTGTTTTTGTAAGTAGGTAACATGATTAAAAACACTCTACTGTATTTGTTCCCAAATTTTATGCCAAGTACAAATATTGTAATTGCTTGCTTCAATATTATGTAAACTGGTGAAATACCAGTGTGAAAAAGGTATAATTTCTGTTAAAAACTAAGTTGACTGCCTGGGAAGTCAATAAAGGCAAATGACTAATACTTCTGTGGTTAAATTAGTTATGGGAAGACAACTGAAATACAAAGAGAAACTAGCAGGATTTGTCACTTGGCTTTGTGATGTCCAAGGTTTGGTTGTTCACTCTGGAAAGTGAACCTGGACAGTGGAGATGATGTATCTATTAGGGCAGAACACAAAACAGAAGCTATGAAATTATAATAAAATGATGCACTCAAAGACACACTATGGCCCTACATCAAAATTTGGTAAATCAGTGCATTTAAACGGGAACAAAGTATGTGATGCATATCCTACAACATTTCAGTCAACGGTCCTGTTTCTGCTCTCTGTGCTTTAGTTAAGGAGATTCCTGCTATACAACAAAAATGCATTTCTCCAAGGTGTTTCAGAACTGACCATCTAACCTGGCTAGCCCAGCACCTCCTTATGACAAGTATACTTTTTGCATCTCTGTCCATCCTACAGAGAAGCCTATTCCTAGAACTATAACCTGGAAGCAGAAATTTCTGGCTATGCAATTTGTGGGGTTTGGGGCAAAATGGAAATGTACAGTAATTCAAAACTATTAAAATTTAAGACCACAATGACAGAGCATTAAGGCATGGGCAGGGCCTTGTGCATCTACATCGATAACATGAGGAAGCCAATACTCTCACCTGATCAGGTCTAACATGGCATCCACTGTGCTGACTTCAGGGCTGTTGCCTGTCCTGTCAATCTCAGACATCTCCTGAGTGACACCAGGCTTGATGGTCACCACCAGCACAATACCTGTGACCAAAGACAGGATCCACATAGCATTAAGAACTTCCAGGGTCCCTGGCATCCTAGCATATACTTCTTATAGCAAATAGGCTGAGCGGTACCCGGAAACACTGTTCCGAGGGGGACCCCAAGGTCCAACCAAAATGTAGAGCCCCTGCCAGAACCCCAGAAGCTTAGCAATTTTTCATTGAAATTAATAAGCAGAAAGAACTTTCTGGGTTTTTAAAATTTTTTTAAATTCATTTTAATGAGAAAAAAAGATAAA